AGAAGTGTTCAACTTTACAATGTTGAGAAGTGTTCAGCTTTACAATGTTGAGAAGTGTTCAACTTTACAATGTTGAGAAGTGTTCAACTTTACAATGTTGAGAAGTGTTCAACTTTACAATGTTGAGAAGTGTTCAACTTTACAATGTTGAGAAGTGTTCAGCTTTACAATGTTGAGAAGTGTAGGGGCGCTATTTGTGTTCAGCATTAACATGTTGAGTTTTGTTTAAAATGTTGAACACTATCCAGCCTTGGAATGTTGAGAAGTGTTCAACTTTACAATGTTGAGAAGTGTTCAGCTTTACAATGTTGAGAAGTGTTCAACTTTACAATGTTGAGAAGTGTTCAACTTTACAATGTTGAGAAGTGTTCAACTTTACAATGTTGAGAAGTGTTCAACTTTACAATGTTGAGAAGTGTTCAACTTTACAATGTTGAGAAGTGTTCAACTTTACAATGTTGAGAAGTGTTCAGCTTTACAATGTTGAGAAGTGTAGGGGCGCTATTTGGGCTGTCCCTACGTTTAAGTGTGTGAGTGGAAAGTGAGATTTACTGACAATAACGCTATTGAGTAATTATTATAACATGCAAAAGCTCTTGCGATCATGCTATTGTGTATTTTCACGCTGTAGTCCCGAATACGGTACATGGTTGTGTTGATGTAACCAAGTGTTCAAAGTACCGCCACCAGTAGCATATGGAGGTTATCATGGCGGCGTGTTCCTGGTACGTAGCTGCCAGCCATTGTTGACGTTCAATCGTCGGTGAAGTGTGAAACGTGTTTAATGTTGGTGAATTTTCGGAATAATTTGCAGAATTTGTCTGTTTATCGTACAGATTTCTTGAGGGGGTATAATAATCGCCGGTGTGGCACGTAATTGTCTCACGTGCTTCACGAAGAATTTTAATTTGTGCAACTTGAAAGATTATGGAAGTCGAACAACGTTAAAAAATATACATTACATGTTGTAAGTATATAAATAAGTCTGTTTTTTTGCCAATTAATGATATTAAAGTTTTCTTCTGCAGTGAGGTCATATTATTTTCATCATACAGCATGTGAAGTTTGGACTTTGAAGTTTTTGCAGGTGGTTTTCTCTGTGCAAATATTCACTCTCTATCCTAGACTCGCATGCAGAATTTTGTTTTTTTAATAAAATAAAATATGATATGAAGTGTTTAAATGGCGCAATTTACATCCAAAAAAATGAAAAAGAGATTGTATGCAAGTCTATCTATACCCTAGTAACAGATAATCGCCAGACGTGACTGCTTCTATGTGATCCATACCGTCATTGATGACAATGGGAGCGCCCCCTGAATAATTAGACCCCCCCCCCCGCTAATTCCGTGCTGGTGTTCCAGCAACGTGACATTGAGACGTACGTAAATGAGAGGGGTTTGCCAACTTTAATTTTAAATATTCTCCAAAGGAGCTCAAAGATCGTACCGTGGGGAAACGTTGAACATGGTTACTGTTTCCCAAGACACAGCATAAAATACGTGTTCTAGCCACCGAATTCCCTTTCCTGATCAAACATGTCGCGGTTATGAATTTCTAGTCTAATATTATTCAGCACAGAAAGGCTTCGCTCGACTGAGAGTCCAAAAGGGACAATATTTGGATATAGGAAATGTTGTTTCCCAGTTATATTACGTTTCATTTCAAAAAAATTAAAAGTTTGAATCATGCCGATTTATGTTCCTGTCAGTTCGGAAATTACAGATTTGTGTTGGTAGAAGGATCTTCGGCGTTATGCTTCATACCATAAAAGTGCTCTAGGGGTTAGGCGGAAAATCCAAATATGCTAATCTCGATGCCATAGAACACAATTCAAATGATTTGATTGGCTGGGGAAACTTACATCAGAATGCGAGGACAAATATACACAAGGTTATAATGTAAAAATGCATATTCTATCACAAGCCACCACATCTATTTGCACTTATGTCGATACTTATGTGTAAATATCTTTCATGTGAGTGTTCGCAATATCGTTTATATAAAAACAAAACAGTAGTCTTATTAGAGGTGATATAACAGAACATTGTAAGCCGGGACCACGTTCAGTCATCCCATGGGATGTTTTACATAAGCTGATACGTTACTGTACAGTTTTAGCAAACTTATAAAATAAGCAATTATAATCCACTCGATCTACTAAGCTCTCTCGAAATCCATGAAAGCACAACTTACAGATATTTTTTTGAATATAGTACTCAGAATAAAAAGTTATTGGTTTAGTATTATTGCATTATTCGACTCGTTATTGTGTATACGTCCGGGGTAGTTAATTACATACTATTTGTGCGTATTTCAAATCCCGCGGTGACTGTAACATCCATTAAAACACCGCGATAAAGACTTTCCGTTTTCGATATTGTGAAATTCTTTCGTTTTTTTATGTTGAAAAAAACATTATTTTAAAATCATTGTTCATACATGAGTTGTTGAACACACTACATAGTTTGTAATTTCATTCAGCTTATTTCAGTCATAATACAACGCAAAAATATAGAGAATATAGCAATTTTTTTTTCTGTAATATTCTTGTGTAATCGTAATTATGAATATGGGTGCATAGGGAATATATTTCGTTATGAATTATTCTTAATATATTTCTGAATTATCTTGTCAAAATCAGTTTTTCAGGAATTTCACAATGTCGAAAATTGGAAGTGTTATCAGCTGCCCCCAGGGAAAGGGGCCCGGGGTTTCAAGGGTTTTGTGCGCAGGGGATTTGTGCTCGCACCGGGGTTCGCCGTCACTTCAGTGACGCGCCCCTGTGTACTATACCCGCAAATGACTAGTGCATTATTGTCATACAAATCGCCACGAAAAGGGTACATTTGTATAAAATTATTCTACGTTCAGTAGATATTGACCAACAATCAAAATTCCTTTTAAATGAACAAAGTTTTCTCGTCTTCATGTTGTGGCTATTAATAATCCGTAACTAACACATTTTGGGAGAAAAAAAAATCTATTCAATGTGAGATGTTAGTCTCGGACTACTCGTCGGTCGGTTTCCTATTGACCGACGAGTTTCGGAGCATCGTTATGGTTAGTTCAAACCGCTTTTGGCTAAATGCGCTCATTCACGTTAGGACTCGCACCAGACATACCATTGAGTGTCCTGACATTCTTTGTCGTGTCATACACTTTGTTTGGATAAATTTGTAATTCATTATATAGAAATCCATAGGATTGAATGAAAAGTAAATTGAAAGGCAATCGCATCGTGATCGTCTATTTATATTAAACGTGTCCGAGTCATTAGTTTGACGTCCCTCTGTTGAGGTTGAGGTTGGACCCCTTTCTAGCTCCATGGTTTGGCCCAACTTGTTCTACCGGTAATAGCAAACGCAGTCAACAAGTGAGCCGCCTCACAGTTCCTCCACAGTTGAGGGACTATGGCTGGCAATGTTGCTGTTCAACAGCATGGCAGAGACAGTAATTACCACTACCGTAGACTTGCAGCCAGTCTCTTGTTGTTGCCATTTGTTTCTTTAGCCATTTATACAGTAACATAATATTCTGTTTTATTTGTACATTTCAATGTCACGTGTCGGATCAAGATTTAAAAGCAGTGACTATCATATTGAATAGCTCTAAGCTGTGGGTCCTTTTTGTCTTATTTTCGGTTTTTGTCTGTCTTTAATTTTTGTGGTGGTATATTAGTCATTTCTGATAAATCTGGTATCCTTGAAATTGTTATATTCGAATATTGGGATTTTATCAACACAGAGAGATGTAAGAGTGGCCACGAATAAATGAAATTCATAGTCACCAGGCGGCGTGTGTAAGTAGAAACAATATTGCAATCAATGATTGCTGGTAGATTTTGCATACGGCATAATATCTCTGCCATAGGAACATATGATAAAAGCGTTATACTATTGACAAAATGGCAACTACCCACTAAAATTCATAATAAACCATCATAATCATTAAAATTAGGCTGGTGACCTTCGACTTTTTTAAAATTGTTATTCCTTGTATTTCGCGGGAGTACAATTTATTGCAAATTGAATGTATTTTGAGTACTAAGTATTCGCATTTATAAGTAGGCTTCATTCTATCACGGTCCCTCTACAGCTGCTAAAAAAATGATTAGTAACCGTGCTCTATCAAATCATAGACCCTCTAGAGGGTCTATGATCAAATCTACTCCCTTGGTTGTGGGGTCAAAATTAGCATAACAATAACATACTCTGCAAAAATAGTAAACAAAGCAGAAAAACGCGGGAAATTAAATATACATTCCAGCGTTGGTGGCGTGTGGCCGTGGCATCATTCAAACCTCCCAAACAAATAGTGTACTGTAACGTCTCTACAACGGTTCCGAATTTTTTCTTACCAGACCGAACAAAACGGATTTTTCGCTGTGACCCACTTTGCATTTATGTCAAAGACCCATGTAGTTGTTGTGTGAGTATTATTTATGGCATATTTCTTCAATATTACATGTAACATTTAAGAAGAAATGTCTGTTCGTCTTTTTATGAGGCATACCATTTTATCCGGTTCAACCCAGTTTTCTAACAAAGATACAGCTTACTTTTCTAGGAATTTTCAAGTTGTTTTGCTCATTTCGAAAGTGGACTTGTTTTTGGGTGATCATATAATATGTAACAGTTATTTATTCATTGACCTGAGCTTACATGGAAGCGAAAATAATGAGACGTGTACGAAGGAAATAAAACAAAATGGAAGATTGTTGTACTTTGACCGGCGACAAAATTACATGCAAAGCGATTGTCTGTTTTTCCTCTCAATTGTTTATACATGCTCCTTGCATTGTAGTAATATAAAACTGTTGCCGTTAAAATCTACTTTTTCATTTGTATTATCTATGAAATGGTCCACGAAAAAAAAATCTTGGTATAGGAAATAAAAATAGAACGCCGTAAAAAGACGCCATGATATTGGTGCTATTCAATTTAAATCTAGGGAGTCTTGAAGAACACCTCCGTGCTTTGAATATATACTCGCTCGTGCAGGTCCACCTAGCACAACTATTATGTATTCCCTTTCCATTCCCAATAACGTTGACTGTGTCGTCTGCAATGGAACCACAAATTATCGTTTGCATTCGGTTGACGATTCTACCATCGTCGAAAGGTTAATTGATCCTGTAACTTTTTTGTTTTTGTCCGTCCTTGGGAGTACCATTTACCCTTTTCGTATTTAAAGCAGGTAATTTAAATTAACATGTTTTTGTTTATATCGCGGAATTTAAACTGACCAGCAGCCAAAACAAAATATTTGTTTTTGTGTGAAAAAATGTGTCGTTTCTCATTTGTAGGCTTGTGGAATTAATTGTTGAGATAAGCTCTTCCAAACTTATTTGGACAACCATTTTTTATCTTGTCAGAGGGTAATCAATTCCTGTTTATTAACCCAAAAAAACATCACAATAATGTATCAAAATAATATAGTACAAGTGTATTTTGCTACATACAGTGATTTGCAAATTCACAGCTGATGCTCTTTATTTTGTTGCATCTAATTTATTTCTAGCTCCAGTTTTAACGTTTGATAATAAAATCATGAAGAAAATACAACTTCAAACTATCATCGAGGGATTGTTAACTAAGGTAAGTACTAAAATTGAGTGTTTATACATTTTTAGGTGGCAGCAGGTTAAATTCTGTCATCTGTATAATTTATGCACTGAGTGTACAGAAAGTCAATAGTGTAAACTAGATTTCCTAATTTTAATCATTTGTAAAATAATTGAATGCTCTTCGAAAGTTGGCGCAAACTCTAAAATATTTTATTTTAGCTGAAATTAATTTTTCGCTGAAAAGACTGTTTGGGTGTTTTGCATATGGAATTTAGTTGCTGATTTTTGATGATTTGAATGATATATAGAATAAAAGGTGTATTTGCTGGTTTTTATTTTCACTTAATCAGCGAGAATAGAGTATTTAACAGTATTTGATTTGGGTCAATGTACTAATAATAGAACTTATTTGACCTTTGGAACCCAGCATGGAACTATGTTCAGCTTGTGAAATACTAGTAGATAACTGATCTTTTCAACTCTAAATATGGACTCTAGACTATTGTGACTAATAAATGAGGTCACTGCTTGAACAAAAGCCCTTGAAAAATTATAATTCCACAAGTCATAGATATGTTTTGATTTGCTACTATTTTAGTTTTGTTTACATGATTGTTTCTGCAAATCGAAAGGCCTAATCAGTTTTGTGAATTATTTCCCTGGTAAAGTCGATGTGAAAGTATGTTAGGCAGGCAGAATAAGGGTAAATGTTTTAAACATTAACCCCAGGATTGCACTGTGGAATTGTGGGATATTATTGTTCTTGTTTATATCTGGCCATTGTTCCCCAGTCTTTTTTCTTTATCAAGTAAACAAATTAATCTTGATGTAATTTCATGAAAGATGTTATTGTAAAGAGATGCAAAATATGAGATGCACCAAAATACATTGAAGTATTTATGAAAACTACTCTAGCCTGGCTCCATTAAAATTTTAGATGATTTGGCATTGCTTTGGACGCTAGATTTTTAACCATTTCAATTCTATTTATGTTAAGGCTAAGGAAAAAAGTGTTTTGAAATTGAATGTGATTTTTTTTTTTTTTATATTCAATGATCAAAAAAATTTAAAATTTATTTCTGGGCCTAAACCATGAAGATCTTTATTCTTCTCCATATGTAATCTAATATTTCACTAATTGTTTGTTACTGTTAAATTGTGCAAAGAAACACATTTTGTGCTATTTTATATTAGGCGGCGGCCTAATTTGTGATAGTACTGTAGAGTATTTGCTCTATTTATCTAATACTGCACATAAACATTGCATTTATTTATACAAGACTATTTGTAGGCACACCAACTACACTGTTAACTACTAATACTGCAAAATGCATTCTGGTCAGTTATCCCATTTATGATTTGAGCAGCTGGTCTAATCAGACTGCACTTTCAGTTGGTTATTAGAAATATATACATTCTTTGAATACTTAGTTGAAATTGAGCTGTGTAAAAACAATGTATGGCAGCAGATAATTTTATTCTAATCAGAATAACATATGATAATAGGATAATTATTTTTCATCAGAACTTGGTACTAATCAGCATTTGTCTGTGTTTAGATGTATGGTACCAGTAATCTATAAACTTCATGCATGTACATTGTCATATTTTCTCTATCAAATTTATAATTAATGCAATTATATTAAATTAAAAGCCATTTGTGTTCATACTATATACATCATGTCACACTATGCAGAATTATTCATTTGATGATAAAATTCAATATGAACGATTGGTGGCAATATTATTGATCAAACATTTCTTTAATTCCGTGTTTGGATCATTTACATGCTCTAACTGTTAATGGTCAAACATTATACAACTTTATATAGTTTTAGTGTCAGCAAAATTTTATTTGAAGACTTTGACGTGTGTACTGTAATAAATACAAGATGTACAATGTATCTGCCTTTGCCAACAATTTTGGAGATTTGATTGTCGTTAGCGTATTGGAATGCTGGATTCTGTTCAGTGATCAAAGATAGACTACATTATAAAATCAATATTTGATGTGAAGCATATATTTCATTGTGAAATATGTACGCTACTGGGCTCTTGATGTTTTTTGTACAATCATTATGGTCCCACCCATTTGAATTTACATTTTATTCTACTTGTGTCTGAAAAAACAGTGTAGTTCTTAGGTTAGTTGTGTTGTACTCTCAAAGCATATCGGTAATTACAGCAATGCATGTTGGGGTTTATTGTAGTGAAGACAAATAATAACTTAGTCGACTGTGCAATGTGTCATCTTTCCATCAGGATAATAGATACATTATGACAATAAGCCATGATGCTCAACATCAGGTTTGTGGAGAACACTTGTCACTTGCCTGTATGTATTATCTAATTTTTTTTCAAAATTTCATGTCTCCTTTGATGGAAATATACAAATTAGTGATTTTGCTGGCATTTATCAGAAATGAGT